CTTATTCAACGATCATGAGTGGAAATCAAATAATGACGGCAACCAGTACAAGAAGATAGTGGATACTGGTCGAATCTTCAAATTTCTTGTAGGTCTAAACATTGAATATGATGAGGTCCGTGGCCAAATAATTGGAAGAAATCACCTACCTCCAATTGGTGAAGTTTTTGTGGAGGTAAGGAATGAAGAGAGTCGGAGACATGTGATGCTGGGAAAGAAGACTGCAGGTTCAATTGAGTCCGTGGAAGGATCAGCATTGGCTATTCCTGAAGCTCAAGAAGGAAAACTTCTCACAACCAACGTGTAGAGGACAAAAACAACCTGCACTGTGACTACTGTGGAAAGCCACGCCATACTCACGAAAAATGCTGAAAATTGCATTGTAAACCAACTAATGATGGTAAGAGAAAAAAATATGGTGAACATAGCACATATATCGCAAATGAGGCTGAGTCATCTCCACTTAGTAAAGAGCAATTAAGTCATCTTCTTAAACTGCTTAAGTCTTGCTCATCATCTAATGCTCATATCGGTTCTATAGCACAAACAAATAGTAATCTTTTGGCTTTTCAAGGAAGTACCAGTCCTTGGATCATTGATTCAGAAGCCTTTGATCATATGACAAGCTGTTCTCAAGTATCTGATTCATATTATTCATGTTCCGGTTCTGAAAAAATCAGAATTGCTGATGATAGTTTTTCACCCATTGTAGAAAAAAAAAATATTAAAATTTCAGAAACAATCTTTTTGAAATCTGTCTTACATGTTCTAAAACTTATATGTAATCTTCTTTCTTTTAGCAAATTGTCTAAAGATTTTGATTATTTCATTTTTTTCCTCCTTCCAATTGTGTTTTTCAGGACTGGAACTCGGGGGAGATGATAGGAACTGCTAGAGAAATAAATGGGTTGTACTACTATGATGGAGCTGATTCTATGAATAAAACAGCTCATGGATTAGATAGTACAAGTTCAAGTTTTGACTATGATCAAGTTATGTTATGACATAAAAGATTAGGGCATTCTAACTTTCCATATCTCAAATCTTTATTTTCTAAACTATTTAAGGGTATTGATTGTTCAAAACTTCATTGTGAAGCGTGTAATTTACTAAAAGTCATCATGTTTCGTTTCCAATAAAATCATATTCTGTTTCAAAACCATTTTATTTAGTGCATAGTGATGTTTGGGGCTTATCCAAAGTTAACACACTTTCTGAAAAAAATGATTTGTAACATTTATTAATGATCACACACGAGTTTTTTTGGTGTATTTATTGGAAAAAAAATCTAAAGTTAAACAACTAATTAAAATTTTTTTCACATGATTGAAAATCATATTCAAACAAAAACTGACATTCTAAGAACGGATAATGAGACCTGAATATTTCAACAAATATTTGGGAACATTTATTTTGGAAAAAAAATATTCTGCATCAATCCACTTGTCATGACACACCACAACAAAATGGTATTGCTGAAAGGAAAAAATAGGCATTTGCTCGAAGTTATCAGAACACTTATGTTTTCCATGAATGTTCCTAAATATCTTTGGGGTAATGCACTTCTTAACTCCTATTATTTAATAAACAGAATGTCATCTCGAGTTTTGAAATTTAAAACACCTTTATAAGTCTTAAAAAATTATTTTTCCACATTTAGGATAACAATTGATCTCCCTTTAAAATTTTTTGGATGTGTTTGCTATGTGCATGTCCCAAATGTGTTTCGCTTAAAACTTGAGCTGAAAAATGTGTTTTTATTGGGTATGCTTCCAATAAACGTGGGTACAAATACTTAATATTATCAAAAAGAAATTTTTTTGAGAGCATGGACGTCAAGTTTGTCGAGGATCGCCCGTTTTTTAAAAATAATTTTTTTCAGGGGGAGAACTTAATTGAAGAAAATAATTTTTGAGAAACTTTACACATTTCTTTAACTAATTATAATATGAAAACTAGGGTCAACACTACTAATCCTATTTTGTCAGATGTTACCTTATCAGAGACAGAGGGAGAAGTACTTCCAAAGGATCAAAATCTTCAACATGAGCTGTAGGCTTATACTAGGAAGAAATTCCGTAAAGTTACTACAACCCCAGTCATTCCCTCAGCAAATGTTCAATCACCTTTGTCGAATAATGACCCTACAACTCAAAGGTAATCTTCCCTCTACTTCTACTCCTTCTGATCTTGATCTTCCAATTGCTTTCAGAAAAGGAATCCGAACAAAAACAAAATATTCTATCACATAATACTTGTCATATGTAAAATTATCAAAAAATCATAGAGCATTTGTGTCTAAGATTTCTAATATGTTTGTTCTAAGAACTATTCAGGAAGCATCAGATGAACCGAGTTGGAAATTAGCTCTTATAGAAGAAATAAATGCTCTTAAAAGAAATAACACTTGGACACTCATTGATCTACATAAAGACAAAAAAACAGTTGGGTGCAAATGGGTGTTCACGATGAAGTTTAAAGTTGATGGAAGTGTGGAGAGATACAAAGCGAGACTAGTAGCAAAAAGATTTACTCAAACTTATGGTATTGATTACCAAGAAAATTTTGCTCCTGTTGCTAAAATTAACTCTATTAGAGTACTTCTTTCTCTTGCAGTTAACTTCAATTGGCCACTTCATCAATTTGATGTAAAAATTGTGTTTTTAAATTGAGAATTGCGAGAAGAAGTATATATGGACCTACCACCCAGATTTGAAAAAAAAATTTAGAAAAGGTAAAATATGCAAATTAAAAAAGTCTCTGTACGGGTTAAAGCAGTCTCCTAGAGCTTGGTTTGAGTGTTTTGGTGATGTTATTAAGAGACATGGATTCTCTCAAAGCCAAACTGTTCATACTCTTTTTTTCAAACATTCCATCAGAGGTAAAGTAGTCATTGTGATTGTGTATGTAGATGACATAATCATAGCAGAAGATGATCCTCTGGAGATTAGCAACTTGAAGAGAAAACTTGAAGCCGACTTGAAGAAGCCGAATTTGATATTAAGGACTTGGGAAAGCTGAAATATTTCCTCGGAATGGAGTTTGCAAGACCTAAGGAGGGAATTTTTGTCAATCAACGCAAGTATGTACTTGATTTACTCAAAGAAATAGGAATGACAGGTTGCAAGGCAGCAGATGCTCCAATTGAACTTATTATAAAGTTAAAAACAGTAGCAGCTAATGAGGTAATAGACAAAGCACGCTATCAAATATTGGTAAGGCGACTAATTTATTTGGCTCACACTCGACCTGACATAGCCTTTACAGTGAGTGGTGAGTGTTGTGAGTCAATTCATGCATTCACCTGGACCTACTCACTTCAAAGCTGTATTCCGAATTTTGAGATATCTCAAAAGAACTCCTGGAAAAGGACTTTTGTTCGAAAAGGGAGAACATCTTCTAATAGAGACCTGCACGGATGCAGATTAGGCAGGAGATGTAAATAATAGATGATCCACATCAGGTTTTTAGGCAGAAATCAGGTTACTTGAAAAAGTAAAAAACAAAGTGTGGTAGCAAGAAGTAGTGCTGAAGTAAAATTCCGCTCGGTGGCACATGGACTCTGTAAAGTATTATGGATAAAAAGACTCCTGGAAGAGTTGAAGATTCCTATACCAGCATCTATTAAAAATTACTGCGACAACAAGACTGCAATATCTATAGCTCAATTCAGTTCTACATGGCAGAACAAAACATGTAGAAGTTGATAAATATTTCATCAAGGAGAAGATAGATAGTGGCGTGACATGCATGTCATACATACCTACTGCTAGCCAAACAATAGATATTCTAACAAAAGGTCTTTCCAAAGTGCAACACAAGGATATAGTTAGCAGGCTTGCCATGAGTGACATCTTCATGCCAGCTTGAGTGGGAGTGTTGAAAGATCTCGTAAATAATGATGATTATATTTCATATTTGTTATAACTCTATATTTAGAGGGGTTCTAAATTGTATGAGGGAATCTCTATTTATTTTTCTTCTTAATTAGAGAGATTAGCTGCCCCTTATATTTGTTATTATTCTTTTCCTTGTCTATTATATTCTTTTTTTATTACTTTCCTTATCAGTAAGTCCTGTAATGGGTATTTATACCTCTCTTTGTATCAATAAGAATAAATCCTCTTATATTTTTCACTGTTTTTTCAATAATTCTATAACATAATCATCCAAAGTATATTAAAATTGATAGATATTTTTAGAGGAGAAGCTCAAAAGTGATTTATTTTATAATCGATTCATAACCATAGACGAACAACTTGTGAGCGTACTCACCAAAAGATTTTTAGGAAAAAATCTTTAAGAAAATATCAAGCAAGCTTGAAATAAGTGACATTTATTCATTCATTTGAGGCAGAGAGTAAAAACACCTCTGAATTCCCGATCGTGTGGGATCCACACTACTTTGTCCACAATAAACTTCAACTCCAACCTCTCTACCCCCAAACACTTTGTCGACCACATCTTCGCCCTTCGAAAGTCACATCATTCACAAGAGTGTCACTCTATCACCTCATAAATCCATAGGATATATACTACTGCCCCACCAATCCAAGGGAGTTACTAAATTGTACAAAAATATATATAAGTTGTCCTATTAAAATTATTATGTAGTTTTCAATCCCCAGTTTTAAAATTTCACATTAGAAGCTTTCCTTGGATTGAAAAAAATTTACATAAATATTGGAATGAAATACACTCAGCTATTAAAAAAACAATCAAAACACTAATTCATTGAACTTTTGAAATAATCAAAATAAAAATACATATATGCATTGCGAATCATTCGCTGATTTTATATATTTCCTAATAGATGCTTATTTTATGATTATTAATTTCATAAATATTGGAAAGAAACATACTAAACTATTCTCCAATTCTTGTAAGAAAATGACGCATTATTAATAGAACATTCAAAAGAAATCCAAGTATAAATACACCTACACATGTCAAATCATTCACTATTCCATGAACAATCAAGATTTACTAGCATGGCACACCTGTTGATCAACAAAAACCCTTGGTGGAGTGCACCATACACCTTTATACTGCAGTCCTAGAGAGCTTCCACCACTGAAACCAGTTGTTGCTGAATTAGTTGGAGAATAAAGAGCATTCTGGCCTTCCTCATCCACAGATGCTGGAGGTGCTTCACTCATTGCTCTCATTGCCACAACATACTCATAGGTTGTAATACCCTGAACAATTATAAAGGAAAAAAAATTAAAACGACTGAGTAATTGATACCTACTATGAACCAAAAATATTTATTTCATGAGGCCTAACCTTCTTTATAAGTATCATGTGAAAAAAGAATAGTTCTCCCAATGGTACACAAGCTAATAATGAAACTGCAGTACATACAGCCTGCAGTTGTGAAGCTCCAGGTCAAAGTATTGATTAGGACAATAGTTTGAGTGTAAGGAAAAGGGAATCTTAAAGTCCAAAACATAAATTGTTAGTATAATAGCCTTGAAACAAAAATAAATTCAAAACCGATGTCAATAGCAATAGATTCATGTTTAGAAAATTCAAAGGTAATCAGACATATAAAAAAAACAAGGCGATAACCAGAAAAATAAAAAAAACTATGTAAGAGATCGATTTTGATAGTATCAAACTAATGTAACAGCAACTACGTTTGCTTCATTCCAAAGCTCATTAAGATGCTCCACTTATGAAAATGAAAAGAGACAGGGATGTATTAAGAATTGACAAAAGATGAAAAACTTTATAGATCTATTAAATATCAAATTTGAGATTTCATTGGGGTGGCTACAACATTTCTTAAGAAGGTTGTAAAGCCGTTGAGGAGAAAACATCATTTTTTAAAGCTACTTTGAGTAATATAATTTTTTATTAGAAAATTGTAACAAAGGCTTTCTTTTAGCTACCACAATTTAGCAAATCTGATTTTCAAAAGCAACTTTCCATTACAAAAATATTTAAAGGGCAGCAGGAAAGCAATAACCAAACAGATGTGTGGAAATCGTTTAGAGAAATAAATAGTGAAAAAGCCAACCCAAATTTACTGTAAAACTAGTCTTGCAAAACTCCAATAAGACTACTACGGAAAAAAGTATGGGGGTGCTGTTTGTGTGGTGAAGTTGCAAAGATGACTTTAACAAAACAAATCAAATTAGAAGACACATCCATGAGGGTCTTGGGTAACTTGCATGACACATCAGCTCCGCACTTAAGTGTGAGTGGCATATTAGTTTGAAATCCTATATTAATTTTGTTTGAAGATTAATAAGTTGGGGTTGAATTAGGAATCATCCATATGCTTTCATCTTAAGTATAGCATACAGTGTGAACTTTAGTTATGCAAATCTTTATTAATCAATTTTATCACTTGGTTTTGCCTATTTTCTTAACGTATTTGAAGAACTCCAGATTAACTAAGAATTACAACCAACATCATGTTCCACTCCATCATGTGATGTCTATTACAAAATTCTTCTTTCAGATTGAGATTTTTTTCCAACAAATTGATTATTTTTGGTTGATATTAAGAGAGGAAAAATCGATCCTGCTCAATTTTCCAATCAATTTGAAGGACGAAACTCCATGTCTTTGCAACATGACTTCTTCAATATTATTATTTTACTTGTACTTCAAATGAGGTGGTGACAATGTCCTTACAAGATTGATGACCCTAGTCAATGCCCCATCCTAACCAAGCTTATGTAGGCTGATCAATAAGGCTTGAGGGCGATTTCACCAATCCATTTTCATATGAAATTTGATCAGCAGAAGTGTATTATCATCATATGATTAAGATAGACATTTATTGAATTTCAACTATTCCTGGGTTAAGCCTAAAACTAAACGGCCCTCCAATTAGTACATTTAACAACTTCTGAGTTGAAATGTTAAGAGGCAGCTCTTGAAATTTATGAAAAAATAGTATGATAAAGCCTCTAACCATCCTCTAGAAAGTCATAGCTACATCTAAAAGCTTTTTATCATAACCTTGTCTGACATATCTGTGCTTAATAGGCTTCTAACATCTCAACCACTTCCTGAAAAACCTCCTTAGCTTAAACAACTTCTACTTAAAAGATCTCATTTGCCCAACCAACCCCCTTCATTGGGCAAACTCAAGTTCATCCAACCTCCTTCTGTCATTAGGCTTCTATTCTCGAAGCTCTTTTAACCTCCTTTAATAAGCTAAATCTTAAGTGTCTCACATGCCTCACCAAAATCTAGCCAATCACCATCATTGATATCCATTCAATCTCCCTCATTGATGTACAAACAATATCTCTAGCTAATATCCAACCAAAAGTACTCTTTGACACCATGCCAGACTCCTTCACAAGTAGCAAATTGACATCCCTCATTGACAACCCAAATTGATAATCCAACTACGTCCACGACTGCAACCAGCTCTTCATTTTAACACAACCTTTGATCTCTCTATCCTTTGTTGTAAAGTTTTTTACAAGTGTCCATTTAATGGCTTATAAGAGGAAATATTCTCATACTATTCATTTTAGAGGTTCATTTGAACTTCATAATTTTGGTTCGGAGCTGTGGTTATCCCTTCTAGATTTCTGCATCAAATTTTATCTAATTAACTTATTTGATTGCTCAGATGCTTGAATACTCTGGAGCTAAAAATGATAAAAAATTCACTTTACTCCAACAATGTTTAGTTTGTATCTAGCAAAAAATTTTAATATTTGTGGGATGGTTTATTTGAGGGAGATCTATAACAAAATCAAGGATGGCAGATTAGTAAGGTTAAAATTTTATTTTACAGATAATATAAAACTTCATAGTATATACACCTGTAAATGACCAAAAAAACAGTTGTGGACTACAAAACAAATGAATTACAAAACATGTGAAACTTACAAAAAACATCAATAATAGCTCAGAAAAACGTACCACAACAGCTGCAAATGGAGCACGAGAAAAACCATTCCCAAGTTTATCCACAATGCTCTTTTCCGTGCTCTTCTTATTGACAAAGCAAAGCACAAGAACAGCAACACCTACCCCAAACTCGATCATAAGCTATATAAACATAAAAAGACAGCAATATTAGTGAGCTAAAACTTGTTTAACAGCCTATTGCAATAAAATTTTGGATATATTTCAATAAACCATTCAACTCAATACATACCCAAACAAGACCAGTGGCCATAAGAGAGATAAATGTTACGTAATTCTTCCTCCCCACACAATTATTTAGCCACTGTAGCAGTTATTTGTGGAGCAAGTTAATGGCTAAAAACTACAGTAGGCCTTATAGAAGAAAAATGTCTTAGTTCTAATAAAATAATCACCCGGCAGTGATGATCGAATCCATCAACACATTTATCACAACTTCTGCAATGCTTGCTAAATTTGCACACCTGAACGTAAAAGGAAAACATAGTGTGAGAGAGAAGAAATATTGACATGATTTAGTTGTTCCAGCTCAATCAACATTAAACATAAGGAAGAGAAACTTCTAAGAACACAAAAACAAACTGAATCAGCTACTTGTCCGAACATAATAGAATGATAGTAACACATACATACGATACATACATACATACATACATACATATAAACATATATATATACATATATATAAATTAAAAGTTTTTGGGACTAGATATATTATTTAAAAAGTTTTGAGCGGTATGTATACAAATCCCCCTTGCATAAAATGATTCACATGTTATTGTGAGTTATATCAACTTCATATAAGAAATAAAAATTTTAATTCTACATCGATTAAATAAAAAAACATAGTTCCTGCTGCTTCGATACTCCTCGCGTCGGTGCGCTAATTTCTTCTTCGTCACCTTCGTCGTCAGCTTCTCTCGTCTTCTGCTTCGCTGCTGAGGGCATCCGACTTCAGCATGGCATCGTCTGCTCGACAACTCGAGTCGACTACTCGAGCTGTTTCCGCAGGGGTTTATTTGCTTCTGCGATTTGTCAGCTCTGCAAGAAAGGGCGTCGTTCTGCTTGAGCTGACTGTTCGATGCCCGACAGACCATCTTGTCTCCTGCTCGACAGGTCATCATATCATAGGAGATGACATCGACTATCCATTCCTATGCCATTGCAGTTGTCGGCGGCCTCTCTATTCCTATTCGTGCTCCTCTTTCAGATTCAAAGACTGGTTTTCGTATAGATCAATCTTGCAATGTTCCACAATCATTCCACGAGGCTCTTGAAGGTGGTGGCGATCATACCTTCATAAAAAAACTGGGGAAAAAAAATGGGAAGTCTGCTCTTATTCTCACAGAGGTTGAAACCAGTACTCTCACATCTACTTGGTTTTTTGCTCTAGTGGGAAAATTTCTTTATGGTCACCCAAAACTTAAGATCATTCGAAAAGATTTTGAGGCTATGAAGCTGTTGGGCAGTTAAATTATTGTTTTACTTGACGGTCGAAGCATACTGATTCAGTTATCTCACGATGCAGATTATAATAGCATTTTTTCTCGGAAAGTTATCAAGATCGACAACCATTATATGAAAATTCTGAAGTGGACTGTTGCTGAAGTGGACTGTTTCTGAAGTGGACTGTTGGTTTTGATTCAAAAACGGAGCCCCCTATCATTCCAGTTTGGATAAAATTTTCGGGGTTAAAATTACATCTGTTCAACTTGGAAATTCTCAAGACGATAAGCCTCTCAAGGTTGATAGTCCTATGTTTGCTGTCACCAAGGTAGATTGCAAGCTGGTCTGCAACACTCAGCATTCCCACCTCCCTACCTCTTTTACTGTCTCTAAGGTCTTCTGGAACCCCCCCCCCAATCCTTATATGAAAGTGAACACTGATGGTAGCTTCAATTACTCTTCTGCAAGATTTGGTGGTGTTTTTAGAGATTCCAGTGGAGCTTATAAACTTTTTCTATTGCCCTATGACTGCCCAGGATGTTCTTGAAACTGAAGCAGCTGCTGCCTGCTGAGCCATCCAGGTGGCTGTCAAATTGAAGTGGAACTACCTCCTTGTTGAAACTGATTCTTCACTACTTATTCAGATGGTGAATGGTGTTATCCCTTCCCCATGGCATAGCCTACAATGGCTGAAAACCATCCATTCCTTCAGGAACTCATGCCAGTTCTCTTTTGTGTTTAATTTTAGGGAAGGTAACAGGCCAGCCAACTAGCTTGCTAGAGTGGGCTGTAATTCTAATGGTGCTCTTGTTTCCTCTGCTCCCTCTTCCCCTCTTTCCTTCCTGCTGCATGGAGCCCTCCTTGAGGCTCCCTATCTCAGAGTTGTAACCCCCTATGTTTTTAAATATATTTTCCTTTCTTAATATATATATATATATATATATATATATATATATATATGAAAAGAGAAAGATGAGACAAGAGAG